TAGTTATAGTTGACCCTTAACATAAATACATGCAACTAAGACAATTATATTACGGTTAGTATAGAAGTACTCACCTAACAAAAATTTATCACAATGGTATGGATTAATGAATTGTTGTGTTTGTTTGAATTGACTTAGTCTTTTAGCAATTTTCATAGACTGAAAAGGACCTTGCTTTCAAGTTTTCATCCAACATAATGTATGAGATTTATCTAAATTAGGAAGTCATATGTTGTGGTCTACACTCAACATATACAAATATACGTTATAGGAACAATATCAAGCTTTATATTTTATGAGTCTAAAAGGATGAACGTTTAACTCTTGAGTGGTTATTCAAAGTATTAAGTATGTGTATTTATTAGATATATAACTAATTATTTATCTGGTTAATTTGGTTTGGCTGGTAAAGAGTGTCTAAAACCAAACCAAACCACCTAAACCAAACAAGCTAAAAACTTTAACCAAACCAAACCAATTATCCAAATTAACCAAACCAAATTATTCAAATAGTACTGGTTAAAACGGTTACCATGGTAACCACACCGTTTGAACACCCCTAGTCAATACCATATGGTATATATTGGTAAAAAATGGCTCAATTTTTTTGTTCCAAAAATATATCAAAGTGAATATAATTTTGAAAAGCACAATTAATATGATTGAAATGTGCAAAAAAATTTAAATTCTGACTTAAACGAGTGAGAAATCGTCCACTAAAAATTGAGGGAAAAAAATTAAAAGCGTTCCAAAAGAGAAAATGGACGCTGATTGGGTTATGCATGGTTACTTACCATAAGGTTATGCACAGAACTGCTTCCCCTATCTGGCCATCGGCTTCACTGGTGATTGTACCCCTCAATTATGCATGAAGATGGAGCGATCAGAGCTACCTGCTGTTGTGGATATTTTTCACTTATACCATGTTTCTTGCGACACAAATCAAATAAAGAAATCAAAGTGACAAAAGATTAAAGAAAAGAAACCAAGACTCGACAATAACATGCATAAACACCGTCCGAGCCAATAGAATTCACTATTTCTCCTTAAAGAATTTTGTTCCCCTCTACGGTACCCAAGTTTATGGAACTATTCCTTACAGGATAGAACAGATGTACCTTTTCTGGTGCACTGGTACTTGAAACCCCAGAAACCAACGAACGCAACAAATAACGAGAACACACGACTATTTTTATTTTATGCACTTGTAGAGTGGAAAAATTAATGAAAAAGAAAACACATTTTCTTTTGGCCGAAATTTGAAAAACTCACTTATGAAAAGAGAGGGGGTTGGTGTTCTTTATAGAAAATGAAGGGGTGTGTGTTTTACGGAATGTGACCCTTTAGGTGGGTGGTTACACCCAACCAACACATTGGTTCACTTTAAAAATAATGAACCGTTGCATCGGTTCAACCCATAGTAGTTGGACCGGTTGGTTCACTGTAATAGCCATATCAGTTCGATTCAAATCGGTTTAGTCCAGTTGGTTACAAAAACCAATTTGATCAATTACCAAAAGATTTAATCAAATCAATTGACCGAATCCAAGGCCTCCTTCCAATTAATTAATTAATTAATATCAAGGTTCAAAAAAGTACTAAGGCAGACGTTGGGTTCCTGACTTGCGCCTAGCACGATTAAGCGTTGCTTAAGCGTACCTAGGCGTTTGAAGCAGAAATGAAAATAAATCATAATTTTTAGTTTTCTAGAGTAACTTCAAATGATCATAGTTCATAGAAAATTAGAACACTTAAATCTACGCATAAAAACAATAATTTCTCGTCATCCAGATAGATACGCCCATCCACCACTTCATCATATTCAAAGGCAATCTCCTCGCCATCTTCATCTTCTTCCTCCTCCGTAGACTCAAAATTTTTATCATGATTATCTCTCACTATTGCACTCCTACAAGATACATCTGTTTTTAAAAGATCATTAAGCGAATAAAAGAACTAATACAACTAATTATCAATTGGACTATAAGAACAGTTAATTATTAATTTATTATTATTGAACGGCATGAGTAAACCGAATGATAAATAATTAATAATTCAATCCCTATTGCCCACCCTCATTTGACACCGCTGGTTAGTGGCTACTGACTAATGACCAATGAATAACTATAAATTTATCATTTTTTACAGGAAAGGTTAATAATTTAATGGATTAATAGCATTTTATGCCCTTCTACTATTGCAAGTTAACAAATGTACCCCTCTATTATTATTTTGCACAAAAATACCCTTTTATTATTGTAACGTAACAATTTTAGTCTTTCATCCCATTTTCCGTTATTTGATAGTTAAAACAATTATCAAATGACATGATTGCCCTTTATTGTATATTAACTAATTTCTAAAAACATAAAAAAATTAAATAATTTTAATCATTTTTTTGTTAATCTTCCATTCTCCGTCGCCAAATACCAGGGTAGTTATCATAAATGGTCACAAAGCTATTCACTTTGTACAAAACGGTCACAAATATTTCATTTTGCACGTTTTGATAATAAATGTTTGAACTAATAACAAAAAGGTAATTCCGTCCGTCTCCGTCCAAAATTCTGTTAGTTTGGTCCAGTAAGCTATTTTGTCAACATCCACATCATCAAAATAATTAATAAAAAATAAAATAAAAAAACCAATTAAACCCTAACCAACCCACCACCCCAATCCAATCTAACCCAACTCATTTTCCCCTATCTCCTCTACCTCCGCCTTCTCAGCTTCCGCATTCTCCATACTCATCACTATATATGGAAAGCTTCGGCTAAACTCAGCCAATGAATGCTTGAGAGCAACAACAATAAGCTCTAGAACGAATCGGACCGCAACAAAACAAAAATGGAGGCAGGACGGATTCCGCTCAATTGGACAGCAGAGGGGGAAAGACTGGTCGTAAAATATTTCACCGAACGATACGATGCCGATCTTCCGACCTAGCTTGTTATTCCCGCCGATGATCTGCTCCATAAGAAGAGGAGCTCCCATTTTGCTTGTTTCCTTTGTAGCTACTCACATCGACAAATTTGAGATTCGTAGCAGTGGAGATGGTGCCGAACCGGCGGAGAGGGAGAGGAGATAGGGAAGAATGAACTGGTGCCGAACCGGCGGAGAGGGAGAGGAGATGGTGTCGAATTGGAATGGTGGGTTGGTTAGGGTTTAATTAGGTTTTATTTTATTTTTTATTAATTATTTTGATGATGTGGATGATGACGAGACAATTGACTGGACCAAACTATCAGAATTTTGGATGGAGATAGACGAAATTACCTTTTTGTTATTAGTCCAAACATTTATTACTGAAGCGTACAAAATTAAAGGTTTGTGACCGTTTTGTACAAAGTGAATAGTTTTGTGACCATTTATGATAACTACCCCAAATACCATCACCCTATGGAGTACAAACTCGGTGGCTCATACTCTTCCTCTCATATGCCCCCGACCCCGCACTTGATGGAATCTGAATCCGATTCAGAAGCCGGCGACTCTCACCTCTCGCTTGACGAGTCTAAACTCGATCCGCCGTCGCCTGATTCCTGAACGACGGTTATAGCCCCGAGACCTAATAAACAAAAAAGTATATCAATCTGATTCGAGCTTAACCTCCTCACTACCAGTCAAATCGCGGAAGTGTCGTAGTGGTAGCGAAGGCAACTTCTTCGATTATTTAGACCATGTCAAGGGATCTGATTTTGGTACGATCTACGGAAAGGGGAAGACGAAACCAATCGCCGCCATCAGCTTCTAGAGGATTAGGTCATCGGTGGAGTTTGGATTGAACTACTCTTGTAGAATCAACTATCGTGCCGCAAGCAGCGGCGGACCTAAGGCTAGTAAGGGTGTGTCGTCCGACACACCCTCGCTCGAGAAATTTGTGAAGAACCTATATATTTTTGGTACAAATTTTTTACTTCGGAATAGCCGACACACCTTCAATAATTATAGCCGACACACCTTCATTATAGTCGAAGAATTTATAATCCAAACGAATCAATCTTAATCATAATCCATTTTAATTTTGTTTAAAATAACTCATAAATCATAATCCTATCACTTCATATTAAAAAAAAAGACTCTCAACCCATATAATATATATGTTGATGTGTGTTGGGTCTGGACCTATAATTAAAAGAGAGAAAAAAAATCACAGGCCAAATGGCCAATAGCCCAGGCGGACACTCTTTATCGTTTAGTTTACTTGTTGTTGAAGTTGATGTTGACTTTACCTGTTGCAACTGCAAGCTGCAAAAGAGCATTTTCAGCTATGAAGATAATCAAGAACGATCTTCGAAATCGGTTGAGTGACCAATTTATGAATGATTGTTTAGGTGTGTATATTGAAAAAGATTTGCTTTGCAACATAAGTGATGAATGTATTTTAGAGACATTTCAATAGATGAAAAGTCGTCGTGGTTCGTTTTAAATATGACCTTGTGAACTTTATGAATTAATTTCTTTTAATTTCTACTTAATTAATTTAATTAATTTAATTTAATTATTATTGGATTTTATCGGCGACACACCTCTCCGACAATCCTGGGTCCGCCACTGGCCGCAAGCCTTCGGTCTGGATTTGGAGATGACGATGTGGAATCCGCTGACCGCTGTAGATTGCACCGCCGGAAAGATTCTGGAAAAAAGGGGTGGGGGCCGGGGGGACTTCCTCACTGCTAAAGGGAAAGGGAATAAATAGTAACTTTGAAATTAAATTGTAGGGGTAATACCACTGGAAATATCATTCTTTAACGAAAGTGCCATTTATATTACATACTTTCAATAAATACAAAAATATTCTAATTTATTAGGGGTTTGTGTCATTTGTGTTACGCGAATTTCTGTTGACTGTTAAAAATGACGGTTGACCTGATGGTGGCCCACTTTGTGTCCACGTAGGCGACGTGGATGCCACGTTTGAAAAAAATAATTAAAAATTTTAAAAATATTTATTATTATTTATTTATTATTTTAATACAAAATAAAAATTCTTTTAACCCCACCCACCCCTATCTTTTTTACAGCATCGGGCCTCTCCTCCGAAACCCCCAATCCCAAACCTCCACACAGGCCCCCGCCGCAGCAGCAGCATTACTCTGCCATTCCTCCTACCCAATCGCCACCGAATCTGGTGAATAAGTAGCCAGATGAGCCAATTGTTGTCCAGAAGAAGGAGGCGGAGCAGTTGGTTTAGGGAACAATGGATCACCTGGGCCGAAAGGAGATCTTTCTACCTGATTGAGAGTTTCTAGATTCTCGAGGATTGTAATTGAACTTGGTATCCTTCCTTTAAGCCTGTTGCCTGAAAGTTCCACACGGGCGAGATTCTCGACCAATTGCTTCGGAATCGAGCACGTGAGATTCGCATTCGTGATGGTGAGCGACCGTAGCTTGTGCATATTCCCGATGACGACGTAGAGCCCGCTGGCGCTGACGGGGACATCGGTTACGGTGAGGTCGGTGAGGTTGACGAAGTGGGAGAGCCAGACGCCCGTGAGGTGTTTGAGAGAATGCACACAAGTGAAAAAGCGGAGGGCGAGAGCGAGATCTGATGGGAAACAGATATGGATAATGGGGATGTCGGTGAAGGAGAGAGACTGGACGGTGGAGAGGGACTTGAGGGCGGTGAAGGAGAGGGAAACGCCGTTGGAGCAATTGGAGAGGTGGAGCGAGACTATGTGGCTGAATAGGGAAGGCTGGGCACAAGGGTCTTTGGCAGTTGGGATTCTGAGGGACTGGAGGGCTCGGAGCTGCTTTGGGTGTAGTGTGGAGTGGGTTGAATTGGAAGGAGATGGGATGGTATTGGGAGGAGGGACGGTGACCGGGGAAGAGGTTGGGGTGACAGCAGGAGCGGCGGCGGCGGTCGGCATGGTGGTTCTGCTGGTAGCACAGGCGGTGGCAGAGGCGAGAATTGTTTTTATTTTTACTTGTTTTTTTTCATTTCAGTAAATAAGCCACGTCAGTGAGCCACGTAGGATCCTATTAAGCGTTGAATGGGCGTTGAAAAGTCGCACAGTTATGTTTAACGTGCCAACTAACGGAGAAAACATTTTAGTATACAAATGGCATATCGAAAACGATGTAATATTAATAACACTTTCGCTAAAGGATGGTATTTCGAGTAGTATTAGCCCTTAAATTAATAAATGTTATTGGTTTTTTATTTTATGAATGAGATGAATAAAGGAATAAGTGAGGGGTAATCTCGTCATTTCACCTTCAGTTAAATTGTCAACTAACAAATTTTTTAACAGAAGGGTATGGTTGTTACAGGTTGATAGTAGAAGGGTACAAAAGTGCAAAATAATAATAAAGGGGTATAATTGTTAACTTGCAATAGTATAGGAGCACAAAATGTTATTAACCCTAATTTAATCCCTGTTTCTAACTTCTAACTAGCGTGCAATTCAGGAAGGAGATGAAACGGCTGCGTTTGGATTTATTGATTATTGCCTAGCCACAATTGATAGCGCGTAGGCTGCCGCAAAATCCAACTTTGCTCGCATAGGCGCTTTTAACCCACCATTAATCCCGCCGAGCGCATTTTGTCTCACTAATGCCTAAGGCAAGGCGCTCCCCCAACGCCCAGAGCATAATTAAGCCTAGGCGAACCCTGATTAATATATATACAAACATGGGTTGTCAGTTACCATTCATTAGTGGCTCTCGCACTCCTTCAAGTGCAAGTGGGGAAGTTCTAATTCCTTCTTTTACCCCACTCTCCATTCTACAACCTTTGTGTTTAGTTATTGTTCGCTAGGTTTTCGTCTATGACTTTTTTCACAAATCATCGCCTTTGCCCACCATTTTGCAGCCCATCTCAAAATACTATCGGCAGAATACTAAGTTGTTCCCCACCACCGTTTGCCAAGGTCGCTACCACGAGTTTTGTATCGGGACCGAGTTTCATCTTCTTTAGTGTTTTTTATCTTCTTTTTTTCCTTTTTGTTGAGCATGATCACAATTGAACCCCAACACATGTGTATCTTAACTTGAACACAAATCACGCCTTTGCCCAACATTTTTGCAGCCCATCTCGAAATGCTGTCGGCGGAATCCTAAGTTGTTCCCCCATCATCGTTTCCCAAGGTCGCTACCATGAGTTTTGTATCTAGATCGAGTTTCATCCTCTTTAGTGTTTTGTTATTGTTCACTAGGTTTTTGTCAATAACTTGTGGCACAAATCATCGCCTTTGCCCACCATTTTGCAGCCCATCTCGAAATACTGTCAGCGGAATCCTATATTGTTCTCCCATCATCGTTTCCAAGGGTATTTGGACCGAGTCTCATCCGCTTAAGTGTTTTTTCTTTCTTTTTACCTTTTTTGTTGAGCATGATCACAATTGAACCCAAATCCATCGGTATACAACCTAATTCGATCCTGTCAAAGCGACATGAACCGACTCGGCATTTATAAATTTCTTTTTTCTTCCTCTTTTGGGTGGGAAGACAATTGAACCCGAATCTAAGATTTTGACGAGTGTTGTATTGTGAGCAAGCTTTGTCCGCTTTTGCAGTTGGCAGGCTGGACCAAGTGTTAATTTGTTAAAAAAATGTTCAAAACAAGTTGAACACGTTGTTGACCAGTTTTAGATCGAAAGCGAGTTTTTCACGCTTTAATTTTATTTATTTCTCATTTTCATTTTCGTTGAGAATCATAATTGAACTCTGACTCATTGTTTTATTTCTCATTTTCTTATTCGTTGAGAATGACAATTGAACCCTGATCCATCGTTGACTCGTTTCGTATCGAGAATGAGTTTTATCCGCTTTTGTAATTGACAGACTGGGGAAATTGTGAATATTTTAAAACTGGGTCGACTCAATCAAATCGAGTTGAATACAATGTTGAGAGTTTGGGGTCATGAGCCGGTTTTATCCATTTTAGTAATTTTTTTATCCTTTTCCTTTTGGTTGAGAATGACAATTGAGTCCAAACGCATGGGTATACAACCTAATTTGACCCGACCAAAGCGACTTGTCCAAAACTAGCTGGTCAAAGCGAGTTTTATTTGTTTTTTTAATTGGCGTGTTGTGTCAGGTGTGAATTTGCCCAAAACTAGGTCCAACCAGGTCAAAGCGAGTTGAACCTGGCGTTGACGAGTTTTGAGTCGATAGCGAGTTTTAGCTTTAGTGTTTTTCATTTCCTTTTTTCCTTTTGTTTGAGAAAGACAATTGAACCCAAATCCATGAGTATCCAACCTAATTTGACCCGATCAATGCGAGTTGAACCTCCTGAAACCCGCAATTAGTCCTAAATTTTCACAAAGGAGAACCAGGATTACCTCAAGCCTAAAAAAAAATGTAAGCCATAGAAATTGAAACTTTAGCGTCATGAAAGAAGTTTAAACATAAATAATCTATTCAACGACCTTCTACCTTATGCAAGTTCATCGACCATATACTATTGTAAATAACAAACCTATGAGAAGAATGAAATAATATTACTTTTACTTTGGGGTCAACATTAAAACTATTACTCGTTAAAATTTATATTTATGATACGCGAAGCGATAGCAAGCGAGCTTTTACTAGTATATAATCAATATGATATTTCAAAAGCTTCTGTTGACTCCTTCCATTTCATTCCCATTCAAACTATTAAATATCTCAACACATGCAACATTAATACAGCTGTAGCTAGCTGCACCTGCAAAAAAATTCTCCTCTCCATATATTTATCGCTCATCATCAATGCCGCAAATTTCTTCATCTATTTTTGTTTCGCTATAGGCAGGTTCCAGGCAAATTTCTTTATCTATTTTTATGTATATATAGAGAGAGATCGATGTAGATATGTCGCGGCCGTCACCATTGGTGGCAACGAGAGAGAGAAGGCTAATTGTGTGTCCATCTTACCACATAATTTGTTCGGTTTCATGACGCTCATGGAATCAACAAAGTCTGGTTTGTTTTCTAGCCAATTTTAGATTCTTTTACAGATGCTTTGGTCCGACTTTCTATAGCTTATATTTAACTTAAACCAACCAGTTCTTGTGATTGTAATTAACTTGTTCCTCAATCTAACCATTCCACCTCCGATTGATTCCTTCTCTGTGAAATTGAAAGAGAGAAGAGGTACTTGGATTCACCACTTCTTTTTAAATTATTAACTTATCATGTTCGAAAACTGCTTTATAGAACTGATGCTGACAATAACTAGTTACACAAATGTTTCTCATCATATGTTCATGGATTTATTGAGAGTACAATGAGATAAGATAAACTGAAAATTTAGATATTCCTAATAGGATATAAATTATTGTTAGATATTCCTAATAGGATATAAATTATTGATCTTTAGTTTCTGAGTAGTTATATATCCCTGAAAAATGTCTTCAAAATATTATCGTGTAGTAGGAAGAGACAGTTGTCCTCTATATAAGAAAATGGCTGATAAGATCAGCATATATGGATGGATCTGCCTTTCTATTCTTTTATAGCCCCATTCTTTCTTTGAACCTTATCGATGATAGTACTTAAAGAGCTACTTAACTAACTAAGCAAGAAGAAGTGAAAGAGGAAGAGTTATTTTTTAAACATTTATAGCTTTCAACAATTTTTGAATTGATATTCAATAAAAGGTGACCTTTACTAATTCCATGCTCATCGATGTCAAGTTGCTTGAAAGTATTGAGATCTAATTCAAGTCCCTCGTTGCTAGGTTCGTGAACAATTCGAACTTTCGGTTCAATATGAAGTCCTCCAACTCAAAGATTTGTTACCTACACATACTTATGCATCACATCCGGTGTTTACTAGAGTTAGTTACATAGATATAATACAGAAACCCAAAAGATTTGACTATGCATCTGCAATGGGGTTTGTTAATCAATTTTTAATTTATTTAATTATTATAGAACGTTGTTTATGTAAGTGGTATAGAACATTATTACATAAGTCTTTCATAATATGTGTTCTAATCCTAAAATAATATAATAAAAAAGTAACATTTGATGAATTTGTAATTTAGGTAAGGTTAAATACACTTGTATATCCAAAACTTTCACGGTTGTGCCAATAATATCCAATTTTCCCGAAATACCACTTATATCCAATTCCTTCGCATTCATTAACGGTGTTTTTGGATATACAAGTGTATTTAACCAAAAATATATTGGGAAATGGATAGATTTTGCAAAGAACAACTTTAAAACATGGATATAAGTGGTATTTCGGGAAATTTGGATATTATTGGCACAACCGTGAAAGTTTTGGATATACAAGTGTATTACACCTTTATGTAACTGTTGTTGTAGAACACTGTTACATAAATTACAAATTGATAATGAAACAATACACAAGAAGATGAGAATCAATAAAACTAGTTTCTTAAATTTCACACATACAATCCAATCACCAGCAAACACAGCTCAATCAAACATGCATGACACTAAGAACACATAAGAAACCTAGCATAAGGAACTAACCAAAAAATACGCACAACGAATTTCCCAGCCTGCCAAAATCCCGGATAGGGTTATGGAGACTTTAAGAAGATGAATGGGTTGTATTGGGGAAACCTAAAGGTCTTATATATAGGGTAAAAAAGGCAAATTAATAATGTCTAAAATGGTGGGTCAGGACGTGGAGAGTTAGGGGTTGTTTGTAGAACTTCCAACAACCATACCAATCACAAGGTGGTCAAGGGTTCCAACAATAACCCGACAAGTTTGCTAAGCTAGAAGATCTAGTGACCACCTTTGTAAGCACGAGCTTTCAGAAGTTTGAGAAGATTATGCAATTCAAGGATGCGGCAAACTCAAATTTTACCTCGGTCGAGGCGGGACTCCGAAGTCATCAAGCAAGTCTTCAGACCGTGGAGGTGCAAGTTGGCAATCTTGTCAGGATTCTCACCGAGAGACTAAGGGGAGCTCTACCTTC